ACATCATCGTCATTATCACCAGCTAGATTTAACTTTACAATTCATATATTGGTCTCCGAAAAGGAAAGATTTTTTTTTTTATTGGATAAGTCGGCAAACGAGCAGACGCATTACCTGATGGTAAGCAATCGGCGCCGCCCATGGACACCCGCAACACCAAAGGAGTTACGAGTGCGTTGCCGGCCTTTTGGGGCCTATCCCCAAAAGGCCGGCAACGCACGGTTGCGGATATGGATTGGGAAGGGATAGGGGAAGGGGAGGGATTGGGCCTCCGGTAACCTCACTGACACGGCGAAACACAACGCTGTGGGTTGTTTCACGCCGGTATTCTGTGAGGCCGTGGTATCACTCCGGTCGAGCCGACCCATTCGTGCCGAAGCTCGGCTCTCCGACACTTCTCATTATAGAATGACGACTGTGGCACATAATAAATTCCCAGTAAACAAGTTACTAAAAAAACATTACTAAACAGTAATAAACATGTTATTTTTTTAGTTATGTCAATATGAAACTTTACGCCTTTCATTGCCCGAGCGCACGGCGCGTAGGGTTCCGTCCGCGCCTCAAAGAGCTAATAAGCCACCACAGCCGTAGCTGCAGGGTAAGCGCAATGAAGCACCACGACCTCGGCCCAGAGCAGAAGAAAGAACGGGGGTTTTTAGTCAGTAAGAGTTTGAGTGACACTCCTTCCCGCCCGACTCTGGGCGGAAGAAGTGATTTGTTGATTTTCCCCACAAAAAAAAACACCTTTCATTTAAGAAATAGTCATCCACACTTGAATTTTTCAGGTCCCAAATCAGTAGTTAATGTCATTATGTCATCCACACTTGAATTTTTCAGGTCCCAAATCAGTAGTTAATGTCATTATGTCAGCGAGCCATTCGAGTCATTAAACCGCTGCGCTAACGACCACGTGTGGTCCGATTCAATTCCACACGGTCGCGACCCTAAATATGGGATACTGGTGAAGTATACGCAAAAATATCAGATAATAGGAATCTGAATTGTTTAGAAATAAAGTACTAGAGGTCCATGTGACTCTTATATATTAATCGACCGATTTAAAATTACCTATCTATAAATAAGTGTCCAATTACACACACATATATATATGTACATACGTTAAAAGTGTAAAGATATTTCTACGGACTGTTGTTTTCCGTATTGATAATTCAGAAACTAAACGCGATTACAATAAAGAAATCAATTTTTTTTTTCTTTTTAATAAACGTTGCCCCACATTATGATTTTCTCCTGAGTCGTGGGTGCGTTTACAAACATACAATTCCACATGCACATCACACCCAGACCCGGAACAACAATTTGTGGATCACACAAAGAGTTGTTCCGTGCGGGAATCGATCCCGCGACACGTTGCACGGCCCAGCCACCGCGCCAACCGTGCAGTCAAAACTATTGAAGTGCAAATTATAGGAACTTTTTTGCATAAAACAATTGCTAGAAATTATAAATTAATAATGAAAAGTCATGTTAAATATTCATTACTACAAGCAAACGGCGAATTTGAAGCCAAATAAAGTTGTCCCAACAAAAACTGGACAACACATCACATCAAAAAATAAACTCAAAGAATTTTTGGCACGCGACTCATAAAATATTACCCTACGTTTTTACCAGCACTTGACTTACATAATAAACATGGCAGAATACAGAATGTACTACAAAAAGACAAGCAATTAGGCGCGGGTCGCGATATATCACGCTGGACAGGTAGCAACATGTTGCCCTGATGTCTATTCTAATGGGGGCTGTTTGTGGCCAAACTAAATTCTGTTGTGGGCTACAATGCGTTTGTCTGCTCACAGTCAAGATTTTAGGCCCTAAATGCGCAGTAATTTTTACTTTTATAGTGCATTTCTAACTTATTTACGTAGATGAAATTTTGTGGCTTTGAAAAGACTTCAAAAACTGAATTCCTTGAATCCTAAAGTATTCTTGGTAAAACAAAAAAGGGTAAAACATAAGTGGAATGGATTTCAAAGTTTTTAATCGCAAAATTAATCTAATGTCTGGAATTATTAACTTAAGACAAGATTATTACTGGTAAGATTGCTGTGTATCTATAATGGCCGAAGTCAATAACCGATCTTATTCCAAAATTTCAAAATAGATCAAGATTTCCACAAAAGATCCTTAAAACTAACGCCTAAAATTATGGATTTTAATCCATATTGATTTAAAGGTTTTAGATTTAAAATCGGTTATTAGCAGCGGCATTTTATGACCTTGACTAGCATTTATAAAGCTATGTATTTATTCTTTCATGCACACAAAGATCAGCAACGGTACATAAGGCAGACCTAATGCTATTGATATAAGCATAAAGTAATATGAAACATAACCATCTTCCCTACGATGTGAACTAAATTTCTTGCAAAAGAACAAACTAAGATATTTATTTGAGGTAAAAATATGAATAATAAAACGTTCGTTCGCGGCCAGTGAGAGATGGTTGCAATATTTCTTTTCTTGAAGAAGGGGGCGCTGGTGTAGCGATGAATTATACAATTTGTTAAGCTTTGTGCCCAAGGGGTCTTTTGGACCCTGCAGTTGACTATTACAACCACTTTTTATTCACTGATTACCTTTTGTCTGACTTTATTGCGTGTTTTATAATATAAAATCCTGTTCTTGGAGACAGCAATTTGGTTTGAGATGGGGTAGGAGCGTAGATTTTTTATTGTTTTAATTAATTGTTAGGAGCAATAACATTTCGCAACGTTTAAGTGCGAATGAGTGGTAAAATGGTTAATTAGGAAAGAAAAGAAAAACAAGTTTTCTTATAAGTTAATTTCCAATTCAACCAACAACAGAATGTTTTAACAATAGCTGCAAAAGTGTATTTTTCTAAAATATCAATTTAAACGGCTAACACCCGGTTTCTGGAAGGCTTGTCAACGCTAAAATTAACTAATCTCCTGTTAAATCTCTTGTCAAGTCATCTGATTGGTTGTTGATAATTCAGTCAACCAATCAGATGACTTGACAAGAGATTAAAAAATTTTCAAATTGATCGGCCTTTCGGAAACCGGTGTTAAAGTGTTGTTAAGTGCAAATCTCGAAAACGGCTAAACCACTTTCTTTTTTTATTGTTTCAAAGTGATATCGATGTTTTTTTAAGGTAGATAAAAATTACCGATTTTCGTCTATCCTTTAAAAAAATCGGTAGTCGGCAAAGCTTGCGCGGACTTGTGTAACTAACACATAGATATATTCTCTAGTTATAGGTATCAATAGCTTTTTACATACCGAACATACATTTCTAAGGTTATGCAAAAGTAATAAAATATTAAAATTTCAACCATTTTACGTAGAACAAAAACGATTTTAAAATTTCAGTTTGGATAAAAACAAATGGTAGGAGTAAAACGGCCGTGATATTTTTTTGGTGGGGAAACAAAGGTTTACGGTTGCCCGTGATATTTAATTGAATAATGACTGCCCGTAAACAAAGGAGTAATAAGCTATTAATCTCACCACAACAGGCGTGTGTTACTACGAGACACTTACTCATATATATTTTTTAATTTTAAAAAGTACTTATATCAACATGTAATCAGTTTTTTGAAGAAATTAAATTATTTTATCATAATTTCTAATCATAATTTTGAAACAAATCTAATTTAATTTATACGTTTGAAATCGAAAATTCATTTCAACACAACAACAATAGTTCCACGTTGTCAATGTAACATTTAAAATTGTAAAAAAATGTCTACGTAATGGGAAACTATGTTACAAGACCTTTAAAATAGACGTCTACAAAAGATGAAAATTAATTGAAAATTCAAGCGTGGGGGAGTCGACTCGACCGGAGTCATTCCACGGCCTCACAGAATACCGGCGTGAAACAACCACAGCGTTGTGTTTCGCCGTGTGAGTGATATGACCGGAGGCCCAATCCCGCCCCTTCACCTATCCCTTCCCGATCCTTATATCCGCAACTCCTATCCCCAAATGGTCGGCAACGTACTTGTTACTCCTTTGGTGTTGGTGGATAAATGGGCGGCGCTGATTGCTTACCATCAGGTAATCCGTCTGATCGTTTGCCGACTTATACCAAAAAAATATAATCTAATTAAGAAAAGCTCTATTAGTTTCATGTCACAACGGGACTTATTCATCAGCTTGCGGGGCGCAGTCGGCTGCCCAAAGTCACCGAGTTTTAGGTATTTTTTTATAAATATATTGAAGTCTTTGATTATTATGGTATCAATTGGTATTTTTTGTTTCATACAAAAATCGTTTGACTGCGTGGTTGGCGCTGGGGCTGGGTAACCGGCTGCAGTTGACGGTGTTGCGATCTGATTCCCGAACGAAATCACTCTTTGAGTGAGTAGTTGAAATTGTATGTTTTAAAGGCACAGGAGAAAAACCTGGTGAAGGGAAAGGTATCTTTTTTAAATATACAAATAAGAAAAAGACAAGCAATAAAATTATTCGAATAAAAAAAAAATAACATTTATAAGTATGAAAAAAATCGATCACCATACGAGTTATTGTCGAGAACACACTACCATGGTACGTACGACCAAGAGCTCGCTAATGAAAACAAATGAATATCGCACGCTCATCGCTACTTTCATGAGTGATTCTTTTGTACAAATAAATTCGAACAGAGATGAATAATAATATAATTAATGAACGTTTTAGACGGGTTGAAAATTATTGATGTTTTTCCTAAATGATTTTCAAACCATTCTGGATGAAACATTTTCACTGTATTCCCATTTTAATTCTGTGCCAGCTATCAACACTAATTACTATTTAAGCGTTTATTATTAAATATTAAATTCGTCCAACAAAACCTTGTACCGTCAAATATATTAATAAATGAAGCATTTTGTATGTGGTATGCAACACAATTGTTTGTTTAGTAATAGAAACTAAAAGCCATAATAATAATATACAAGATTATAGATAAATACACAAAAAATCTTTATTTCATTTCTCACGTGGACATGCAGAACTGAAACTGTACCATAAACGCTTTAGTCCAATAATAAATAAAATCATCCGAAACATAATTCTGTAACTTCTATCTTGAACTTTTGATTTGCGTTGCGATTATCTTTTATCAAAATATCGGCTATAGGCAACCTATGTACGTTGGAAGTCTGAATCTTTATAATAGAACTCCGCCACTCCTGAACGCCTTCCTGCAACATTAAATTAAAAAACTTTGGTACTGAAATATCTTTGAGCACTGTGGTGTCTATGGTCTACTCGAAGATATTTTGACTATCGTCAACAGACGGCGCTTAGCACAATTTTGTTGAACTTGAATTTAATAAAAACTATGACATGAAATATGACGAATTACAATACAATAAACTAATATTGCTAATCCGTTAAACTAAAACAGGGTGAAAAGTTCGTCCAATAAAAAACGATAACTCTCTAGACGACCGAGAAGGTCCATTGACTTGTTCTAAAGCCTTCTACAGAGCGTACAAATTAAAACCCTATAGTTTACCTCACAATGATCAGTTTCCTTCGGTACTGTATAAAAAACTGGCGATTTTGGTGTTGCAAATGGTCCGATTACCACGTCGTTCCACGTCAATAGTTCTAGTGATGATGTTGAAGTATTGTATTTGGGGTAAGGTACTGAATCCCAACAGTGATATTTTATTGTTTGACGAACTGACACGGACCTTTCTTGAAGCCATGATATTTGTTCTAAAGATAGCTGAAATATAGAAGGTAAAAACACTGTTAAAGATATCGATGCAAACACTATAATTTGGATTAGATGTTACTATTTGTTGTTGATACATTTTGAAGTAGGGCGAGAAAGAGAGTGTCTTTTAGAATACCGGGGTCGCGGTATATTATTGCGCCTAACCCGTAACCCCGGCTAGAAATATTTTTCCTGATTTGTCGATAAAATTCATGAACTCAAATTTTGGTTGTGTCATTAGTGGTTGCAAATGTCACTTATAGTTTCAGGCATGACTCGAATCATAAAATTTTATACAAAATATCTAAGAATCTGGGGCTTATTTCGTTACCGCCAAAGACTGATGTGGTGTTATATGTGTTGGTATTTTCATATTAAATGGCTCAAGTTCCACTTTTTACTGTAGGTTCCAATTTTTTTATGGGTTGGAGCTGCAAAAGAGCAAATTGAAGGACATTCGCAGCACTACAAGAGTTCAAGTGCGTGGCTTTTCAGGGATTAGAGACAATAAAGATCATCGATCTTTTGATTTTCTTATTTTGAAAGATTGGGCCTCCAGTAATCTCACTTATAAGCCGAAGCGTAATAAAAGGCCAAGGTGGTATTACACTGGACGATCTTCAGCACAACTCTCCCACACTACAATATCTTTCCCACGTTTTATCGGCATACACTATTTATTAACTTTCAATTTGTTTACTTACTTCATATATATCCATCAGATGAACTCCCAGTGAGCTTAGCCAGACAGGCTGATTACCTAATTTATGTTTTTGTTCTGGAGTCATCGGTATATTAGGAATGCAAGTTTCCAACGTAGTCATGTTACAATAAACTTTGAATTCCTTTTTAAATGGCCCCATTGAGTAAAATCCTGTAGAAAGAAGAGGTCTCATTTATTTATGCCTATAAATTTAAAAACACAAAAAATAGCAGCGTTTTAATTTTGTTTTGTTCCAAAATATAGTTATTCTGTTAACGCCGCAGATTCTAAACCGATTTTTTGGGTTAATTTGATTTTAAAAATTATCATATTGGAAATTATGAAAATAATTTAGATCAATCAATTTTAACTTAAAATTTTTCACTGATTTTCAAGGTCGGTCCAATTCAAATAAATGGTTTTTTTTATAATCTTGAATAGATTGTTGTAACTACTCAGTCGACAAAACTCCCTAGTAAGTGCAGACTGCAAGCCCTGACAATTTGTATAAAATAGTTTTTCTTAATTGGACAGATTTTTAATTCACTTTTGACTTACCGCTTTCTATATCTTTAGGCGCAGCCTTACAAGGCTTTTCTACTGGGATATCAGGGTCCCATTCATCATCTCCAACTTCCATACTACTTGTTTCTGCAAATATAAAACTTAATGAGTTCAGATGGGAAAAGTAAGTTTCTATACAACAAACTGAAGGCTATAACGGTTGATTACAGGGCCAACAAATTATAATAATAAACTTATCGTTGCAAACAAAAATTATCATTCGTTACAGAAGCTATGCTTTTGCCAGTGGTTTTGCCTGCAGTACCGTGGTGAATAGGGTTCATTTTGTTATTCAAGATAATGTATTACTATGACAAATTTTATTTAGATCCGTTTAAGGATTTGCGCATGAAAATTTAACATATATTTATCCCTCCATATATAGTTACAAACTCTCGGGTTCATAATATTACCTAGTAGGATAAAAATAAGGCAATGGGGCATTCAGTCAAATTTGCTCTAAACTTTGAGTTAATATTTATACTTACTGATTGCTGGCAAAACGCAATGACATATACCAGGTTTCCCTTCAAGCCCAGGAGGTCCTATTGGTCCTGGTTTTCCCTGAAAAATACGCATGATTTATGAAAATTAAGTACTACCTATACCAAAATCAATTTTAAAACTTAACAACAATGAAACTTCGCTGGTTACAAAAATTTTACTAATCGAATTATTATATTAGTATTTAGTTGAATGATAAAAAATTAGTAGACAGACTTTTTTGTTTTCCGCGTAAGAAAAAAAAACTTAGATAGCGATTTAAAAAAAAATACAGGTCGCAACGCCATCGCTCAAACTAGAATGCACAAAATCGTGACATCACTCGAATATTTCAGATTAAATAAGAATCTAAAAGTCTATAATAATGTTTTATTTCATAAGAAAAACTAAAATACTTAGGTATCTAATGTTTTAAATTAATTTACCAGATGAACATAAAAGTATTGGACAACCGCAACAACGGATGAGTTACTAGAACGTTGCCAACCTTTTACGGATTACGGATTTGGCAATTTTGAGATTGGGCGAAACATAAACGTCGTGGTTGTTTCACGCCGGTTTTACGTGAGGCCGTGGTATCATTCCGGCCGAGTCGGAGCATGGCTCTCCCACACTTAAAAGGTTGGTATGGCTAACTTTTTTAACTACGGAATGGTATGACCTTTCTATATAAGTATATTTATTTCATAAGGAGAATAAATTTTGTTATGTTCCAGTCACAAAACAACCAAAATGTAAGAGGAAAGATATTATAAATATTTATTTAACTATAGAATTATTATTTAGCCGAGTTTCCTGTATGTATACTCAAATATTCCTGCATGAACCAAAAATAGCATATACCATAACAATACCAAAAGTTTGCTAGCTTCCTCAGTCAAAAACAAATAATTTTAACGTATAAAAAAAACGTATCAACCATAAAAATACCCAAAAAATAATTACACTTGCATTCATAATTTTTACGATAAACTTAACATTTCGTATTTTTATTGATATTTCAAGAGAAATGAGTACGCTAGTTCACATTAAAACTATGACGTCATAATAGGCTACTCATAAAACTTTCATAGAAAAATTATAAAGTATTGCATTTGACTAGTTGAAAACTACCTTATTATGTATAGTGTTGAATTGAATTGATTTGGCCAGCTAAATTTTATCATGTTTTTTACAGCTGTCACATCTGATGGTAAGCAGTGATGCACCACTGTTCGAAACCTGGTTCGACTAATGTGGCTGATTTGATTATAAATCGTACTTTATAAAATTGTACTCCGTTTAAAAAAACATCTTGAGGTAACCATGTACCTACTAATGATTTCAAATTTTAAAATTCTTTTTTCCAGCGCAGTGATTAGTGTTCATTCATTCTCCTTTGCTAAACAGTGATCACAAATGGGCTAATGATTTTATGTGAATAATACCTACATGCACACATTGTAACATGTCTTAGTTTGTTTCTTAATACTCACAGTGATCCCTCGTTCTCCTTTATCGCCTTTAGGTCCCTGGAAGCAGAAAAAGTGCTTTATTTCAAATCGATTTTATACTACTTAATAAAATTTATTTAAATATTATATTTGCCGTCCCTAGACGGTTAGGCACTTAATGTAGGTACACGCAAAGGTGGACTTAATGTATTATTTTTAAAAAAACATTGCCCAGGATTTCATTCTTGTGTCCCGGACGCATTAACAAATATATAACTTCACATACACAATACATATATACCCAGACATAAAACGATAATCACATAAACTATTATTGTTTCGTGTGGATCCGCGTCAATTTGCAAAGTTGCCAATCACCGCGTTATTTTTGAAGTCAGTAATTTATGTTCAATATTAATTTCAAAAGCGATTTCTTACCAACGGTCCAATTTCTCCTTTTGGCCCTTGCATTCCTGGTATGCCTGGTGGGCCCTGCAATATTATCAAATATATACAAATCATGCATTTTTTTTGGGGATAAAAAATCATCGGATTTCTCCTGAGTCAATATCAGACTTTTAAATAGTTATTTTGGGGGATCATCAAATATCTTTTCACGGCCAGGATGAGGAGAGAGGGAGTGTTATATTCTTACTAACTTAAATTCAACCCGTTTGTTCTCCTGCTCAGGGCCAAGGCTGTGAGACAATACCTTGCCTTACTTGCTTGCCTTATTGAGCCTCCGGTAACCTCACTCACACGTGTTTGTTGGTGTTTCACGCCCGTTTTCTGTGAGGCTGTGGTATCATTATATCTTACGATCCTAATATTAAAGGTTAATTCGAATCTCATTACCAACATAATTTAGAAATATTAAGCACAATTAGATGGGTCTTAACGTGGTGGTAAAAGTTTGACATTCCCTCTCGCCTCACCCAAATTTGTATGAAACACTGAGTTTTGACGTCATAGTATTTTAGCGTCAAAGAGCTTAATTATTTCTTAAAAATGAGCTAAAAAATATCTCAAATTTAGTGTATCGATCGATCGATGAATACAAGTATAATTATTTTTCAATATTTTATTGTATTGAAACGTCGAATTAATTAATTGTTGACCTAGGAAACTACCCAATTTTGGTTGATTTTTTTTTTGAAATACTATATATGTATACAATGTGCACAAATATGTGACACGTTGTTAAGAAAATACCTGAACTGCACTATACACTATACTATATAATCTGTCTTAGATTTAGTACAAAGACAGACAACAAAGGCTAGGCTTTTGTAATCTTTGGTCAGTTCAGTTTACAAACAAAGGTTTACTGTTTCTGTACCTATTTAATTAATATTTATTTTTTTAATTGCATGCTCAACAACAGTACAGACTGCAATGACGTATTATATATAGACACGTCATGAACCAACATCGCGGCGCTTAAAAACGGCGAAAATACTAGATAACTACTTCTACGAGTAAAGAAAGGGAAAGAAAATATGACATCGTATAGTGGAATGCCTTTGCTAGAGGGAGATAAATATACATCTTCAGTTCAGCCGACGGCACGTGACTATACCTTTATGCGCCGGCCGCCATAAGATGGCGGGCGCCGGCGTCGAAAAAAATAAAATAAAAAAATAGGTTCTTTGGTGAACTTACGCATGAAATGACACATTTTTGTCTTTAACTTTTGGAGTATAATTTGTACATCGTCTGAACACACACAACGACATGCTTTCTTTATGTTTCGTACAGGTTTACACACACGATATAAATTAAAAACAAACGTAGCGTCGCGCGGCAGGTTGGTGCGTAACTAAGCGCGATGTTGTCAATTGCCTTCATTTCATGTTGTCATTTTAGAGCGCGGACAACGTATCTATAGGTTTATACATCATTGACAGACTGTAATTATCTTAAAATGTTGTATTTTATGCCGTCATTTTTTTTAATTCATCTGCTTGTCTAAATATTTACTTATTTATTTAAATAATTTTCAACTTACTGCAAATCCTTGATCGCCTTTTTCTCCATCCTTTCCTGGTAGCCCAGAAACACCCTGAAACATACAACAGTTTTGATAAGTACGCAGTTTTAGGGTTAGGTTTTTTTTTCATAAATAATAATGTACATAGTAAACGGACATATTCGGTGTTCCAGTGATTTTTTTTATGTAATAATTCGGCAAACGAGCAGACGAATTACCTGATGGTAAGCAATCAACGCCGCCCATCGACACCCGCAATGGAGGAGTTACGAGTGCGTTGCCGACCTTTTAGGGATTAGGGATTAGGTAAAAATACAATTCGTAATTTAATATTTTTGAATAACAAATAAGTACTTACAGGCAATCCTGGTTCTCCTTTATCTCCACGTAGCATTAATGGTTTATCACCCTAAAATAAATCGATTTTATTGATTAACAATCAGTTGACACTGTGCATTGTACGTATATATAAAAAGCACAAGTTCATAAGCTTGGACAGTAAAAAAATATATATTAGTGCTTTAATACAATTAGGTACTATCGTTAAATGAATATATGTACATTAAATAATGGCTTGCTGACTCGAACTAGTTGAGACAAATTCTACTAGATTCAAGTGACAATAACATTGACCTCGTTTACGGTCGCGTGGTGCGGTTTTCGTACATTGAAATTATATATCGCGCATTGCCTGCCTCAATATGAGCATTATAATCAATGTATAACATAAAATATGAAGCCTTAATCTCCTTCACCCCCTCGCCGAGATGCTTAGTACCTATACCTTTTCAGTTAGTTCACGTGCAACTGCTTTATAAGAATTATTAGCTTTTGCCCGCGACTTTGATCGCGTGGAATAGTGACTAATAACGATTATATTATATACTAATGCATATATATGATAATGGCTTCCTGCAGATTTTTGGTTAAAAAACTATCCCATGTCCTTTCTCGAGCTCCAAACTATGTCTGTACTAAATTTCACAGAAATTAGGTTCAGTAGTTTGGGCGTCAAGAAAAACAGACAGACAGAATTACTTTGGCATTTATAATATTAGTTTAGATTAAGATTGTAATACTTACAAGTTTAACCGAGCATGTTGCTAAAAAAGAAAACAAATTAGATTAAAAACAATACAAAACCGAAGAAAAAAGAGGAAATTGTAATCATAAATTGGTGATAGAGTCAGTTTCTTTCTCTCTCATCACTATCATGAACAATTAGCCTATTTTAAATGCTTACAGCTGATCAAATGTCTCTTCGCACAGGGAAAAGATATGAAACTCGTCGCTCCTCGCTCTTGCTCAAATTGCTTGCTCGGACTGGTGAATTCATAATCATGGGATTATAATTCCTATGCGGATGCTTTCATAAGATTAGAGTTACAGAAAGGTGCAAAAATCCAAGCCTATTTGAATCAAATATACGGGTATAGCCTTTCCTATCGAGTGTCTTTCTATAATTATGTATATTTGTATTTACTGACAGATTGTACCCCGAAATACATTTAGGTATGTTCTAGATTAAAATCTATCTTGTCTTGAATTGTTTAACTTCATCTTGAAAGAACTGAACATTATATTCAGAACACGATCGAAGGTCTCGATCTCGCGCGGTTTCACCCGCTGCTCGGCTCCATTTGATCATAGCGTGATATTTTATAACCTTTAGCACTCAGGAATATTGTAGCTATCTGTCAGTGAAAGAATTTAGGCAATCTGACCAGCGTTTCCAAAGATAACTCCCTACATACAAACATACAAATTTTACCTCTTTATAATAATAGTGTAAGTATAGAAATAGCTGATGTTTACTTACATAAATGCGTTGTACATTTCCTAATTTTATCATCAGTGTCCTGTAAAATTAATTGAATAATGTTAGATATTGCATGTATCATTTACTCTGCTCGAAATATTAAATAATGCTAGTTGTAGACGCATAGGGCTAATGACAAGTTATGAAAATCACATTCGAATTAGTATCTCAGACATATAATGTACCTCAGACAGAATTGGACTTAAAAAGAAATGGACCTTTGAGATTGTTTCGCCTCTTCTTTTCGGGGTAGTCAGATAGGAAATGCCGGCTTCATCTACATAGTTTTTATATAAAGTTAGTTTACTTAGTTTTTATGACATGTAAAACAGCCGTTTTATATATTATTTAATATTAAAAATAAATTCATTGGAAATGAAAAACTTAGGCACAATTTTTAGTATACAAGTAAGTTTAGGGTTTTTTGGTCAGGGGATAATCATCAAATGACTTCTCCCGCCCAGGATAGGGCGAGAGAGAGTGTCAGACTCTTACTGACTAAAAACCCCCGTTCCTTCTTTTGCTCTGGGCTGAGGCCGTGATGCCTCAGTGCGCTTGCCCCGCAACCCCGGCTGAACATCAGCCCACAGTAAGTTTAAGAGTGGAGATTTATCTCGTAAATTCTCGTTATTCAAAGATATATGGCATAGCTATGATTAATTCCTGAATATTGTTTCCTTGTAACATTGTATTTTAAAAAAATATGAAATTAAAAATGTTATTAATTATTTCATTAATTCTCTGTTCTATGTGTACTTTATGCATTTGATCACGCAAGACGCATTACTGAAAACATACAAATGGTTGGGTTAAGATAAAATGTTAGCTAAGACTTCTCATAACTAATTATCATCATTTTCTTTGTTCAAATATTTTTTATATTATGCCTTCTTTTTAAACTGTTTTCTAGTTACAAGAATTTATTTGATAATGATATATTATAATATATATATAATGATATATATATGATATGATATGATAATCAAGGAATGATCCTTATAACTTATTGAACAATTGAGATAAGATGGATCTAGTTCATTAATTATTTTAAAACATATTATTAAATCGACTGTACTTACTAATACAATACTCGGAATTGTAGCTGAAACAAAAAATGAACAAATTTATAACATGTTTGAATTATGGTGCAGAGCGCAAGGAACTAGGAAGCAGTAAAAAAACTCACAAAGAAGGAGGTGGAACGCTAGAAGGAAGTATCAAATCAAGCCACTCACGTCTGAGGTGAGAGGTTAGAACCTATGATACTAATTTTTAAACTTTCGCGTTTCTTATTCACAACCTATAATTACGTGGGTATTAACGCGGTAAAACATTATTTAAATACCTTGGTAGCCTTGACGATTTGACCCGGCTACACAGGTCGTGGTCACAAACAAACTGAATGTCACAGCCCCCTGCATTCGGGCGATGAATCTTCATCTACCCCCTTATTTTCACTTTCTACCATATTAGGCGGTCTACACACTACGCTGACCGTATGCACAGATGTGTTAACCGACTTTGCAGAAAAGCGAGGTTGTGTTTTCCGAATCACTGGATTCCACGTCGACGACAATTTAAAGCAGTCTTCCCGGGTGAAATTATTTTGGCCTACCAAGGTATTTAAATAATTATTTTCCGCGTTAAAGAACCTATGATTTTAAATTCACATATCATATAAACGCAACGCCAAGTTGACATTACAAACGGCCCTCAGCGGAGCGAGAGGGAGTGCCAGACTCTTCCTAACCAAAAACCAAGCGCCGTTCCATCTCCTGCACCCGCAACCCCGGTTGACAGTCTGCCTAAAACATTTTTTAGAAAAGATCTCACAAATACCGCTTTAGCACCATAAGTTCAAATTCATAAGATCATTATTTTTTATTAAGTTTTGAAACTGACCTCTAAGTCTATTTTGGCATTTCATCTCAGGGTCCAATATGTAAAGCCGGCCTTTTCTACATTTTTTAATACAACAATCAAATGTTAATGTACAAAATGCAAAGTTTCTAGCTTATTTATAAAATTAAAAAAAAATACCTTATTTAATTTGCAAACTGGTTTGGAAACTCATGCCTTATAAATGCTCGTAAAGTAAGAACAAAGGATTTTTAGGTTTTTTTTTTAAATGAAACAATAATGTATGTCATTCTTCTAAAATAATATTTTTAAATAAAAAAGGATTATTAAGTATTTTTACTTAATCATTTACCTGAAGCATTTTGGAGTTTGAATGTTATACACATAAATATAAAGCACAATTTAACTTTGATGTCCATTTTCAACTTATGCACAGACAAACTGAAGTAACAGGAAAACAACTATCCTTATTTTAGTAGTTATCGTATTTGTAAGGTTTATTTTTATATTTAGAGTTCTACAAGGAAAAAAATATAAAAATACATTTGTAAATAGGTACTTGGCACAAAAGAGTAAAAATAATATTCTAGATTTTGTTATACATGAATAAAATCTCTTTTACATTTGACAGACAAACAAATTAATACAGTTTTTTTTTTAATTAGTCCAAATGAGTATAAATCTGGCTTCTATCGATTTTACCCGCGACTGAGTTTGCGTAAAATAGTGAAAGTAGTAAAAATTTAAGTACCTAATGTGGATTTTTTTTATTTTTGTTATTCATTATTTTTAAGGCCATCAATAATAATAAACTTGCCAAGCGCTAACATCATGGTTAACTCCTCTTTTCTGGAAAACGTAAAGGAATTTTTTGTTTTTATTTGTTTTCAAGACTATGATATTTCAATATGATATTTCAAGACTATGATACTAGACTATCAGTGTCATAAGTGCATGGAGGATTCCAAATCAAAATCGTTTGTACGGCGTTTCATCGCCTTTATAATATACCATGGATGACATAGATGGCGCTAGTATACTAGTGGTATTGAAAAATATACATTTATAGTTTTTATCAGATACAAAGTTATTAACTTAATAATTTTTTACACAAATTAATCCTACGATATTCCAAACCTTTTTAAAGCAAAGCACGCAGTAACCAGGATTCGAACTCGGTAGCATAAAACTTACCGATGCCGCTAGCCATTAGGCCATTGCGTAACCTTGAAATGTATTGAAATTATCCTACTCTTTATTATATTGAAGTTGTTTAGCAACTATAACCCGATCATAAATCACAAAACAGTTGAGGGTAATTTAATATTAACTGCATAAAAATTAAACCTTTTTGTTCAATCATAACATTCTTTACTATATTTGAGCGAGTTCAGTTACGATTTGTTTAACAAGTTTTTAATATTTATTTTTATTATGAGTTTGCGTTCAAATATTGATATGGCTACGAAGGCCCAAATAATAGCATTGCATAATCAAAGCTTAAATTATACTGAAATTTCGAGAGAAACTGGCTTAAACGTAAGTATTCTTTTAAAATGACCGTTCGTTATTTATTTTATTATCCATGGTTATCGATACATGAAAATAATAAATACACACGTCCCTTACAGGTAAAGACTGCCACTTTATGGATATCTAAAGCTGTTTCAAGAAGAGGGTTCATTGGAGCACCGTAGTGGATCTGGCAGAAGACGTGATATTGACTCAGACCAGCTTCAACTTATGGGGCAAGGTTATGAGGAAAATTACTGGAGCATTGTCATCTTCAGTGATGCGAACAGTGAAATCTACATAGATGTGCTGAAAAACGTCATGAAGATGTGCTAGTGATAACGTTCGTGCAGGACAATTGTCCTAGTGTAATGTTCCATAATTGTGCAAGTGTTTAGTCAGCAATCAGACATACGGATTATTCCTTGGCCAGCGAGATAGGAGAAATAGGATCGATAAAAATGGCTGCTACACTAGTTCTTAGAAGAAAAGATATTGTTGACTATAGGATTAAGCAATTACAAGACCGGGGTAGCTATAATTTATTTAATGGATAAATGTTCAAGCTTAGTGTTAGTAGGATAAATTTATTGACTACTTTATAACCAGCAACTGTTATTTACAGTAATGATTTTAATGTTTTACTAAATATGAGAAATAAAAATAAAAGCAATATTAATATCTACAGATGCTATTGATTGCAAAATAATAAATTATTTACTTATTATTACTATAAACAATTCGTCCCATATCTAATGAATGCTATATATATCCCGGTCTTAGAAATGTTATTGATTTAAGGTCTAGCTTCAATGTCTTCCTTGTTCTGGAACGAATACTTAAGCTATGGGCCTTTGTCATAACATGATGCACAAAATGAATCACTTTAGTCAATACTTTAATTAAATCTAAATTTTAAACTTTATGAGGAGGTAAAGTAGTTGCAGAAGTAAGGTTGCATATTATGTAGAATCGTATTATAACATTGTGTTTAACCCGTGGTATGCCGGAGCGCAGATATACGCGAGACACAATGTGTTTTCTATTGTGTCTCATATACCGGCAGACTAGTGGTTAAAACTAACTAATAAATGACTAGCACAACACAATTTTGATTTAAAATACTTATTAATCTTATAAAAAGTGTATTAAGTAATGTGTCAGTTAGCTGAAAAGTTATTAGGTCAGGGTATACACTATATAAGAAAGAAATAAATATTATGTTTTAAGAAATAAATATCTGAAATTATAATGTCACTAAAATAGTTTTATTTGTTATCCTTTATGAGAATTAAACTTAGTAAGTATTAGTCTTAATCTGTAAGAAAAATATGTTACTTTTACATTAATAGTTAGCACATATTATAAAAGTTATTAATATAATTTTATTCTAAAATAATATATATATATTTATTTTTGTTATCTTTTATAAATATTAAACGTCAAATATTTTATTTATACATATATTATTATTATTGATTTTATATAAAAAATATAAAAAAAACCATTGTTAAAAAAACCCTGAATATAAAATTGATTACCCGGAATTGAACCGGTGCCCTTCGACTTCATTATTCTATCATTCTTATTCATCCGAGCTACCGATCGCATTTTTTATGAGGTCGAAAATGCGGGTTAGTTTATAACTTTTATTATTGTCTATTATTAATTATTGACGCCATCTTTTAATTGGTTTGCATTACTTGACGTAGATGGCGCTGTATTAAGTCCTCGGAAATGAGAAAATTAACATAATTTATGTGTATTTGAATATAAATATATTATTGTTTCTTAATTATTATTTTAACCATTAAAAACCTTATTGTGTGTCTCTGCAGTGTAAAGTATTCAAGCTTTGCAGGGTTATTTTCATTTAAAAGCAGCGCCATCTAGTTATCAATGGTAGCGTTATGCAAAACTTGTCAGTCAATAGTCGACCTTAAGATCTCCATGCATTTTTGTCACCCTTAGTACCATTGAATACACAGACAATATACACATACAAAATTGATCTAGATTGTGTCATACTTGGTGTCAGCTCAACACGTATAACAGAAAAATATTACTAAATAAAAGAAAGGTACAGTCAAAAGTAAATACGTATTTGTTTATTTGAGTTTGATGATGAATAGCAGGAAAAAATATTATGGAACCCACAGTAGACAAGCGGAACTCGGTCTTGTCCAGTTCTTTACATTAAATTCTATTTATATCGCTTACCATAATACCCTGCCTCTGTAATTTATAGTTCTGTTTCCTGTTCAATTTTATTACAATAACAATATCATTCTGTTTTTCTGGAATATTATCTCAATTAATTAACAACTTCTGATTGTAAAATCAAACGATACAATGAGGTAAAATGACCAAACTACCTCCCCCTCCCCTTTTCCCCCACTCAGCAAAAGGCCAATAGCGCCCTATAATCACAATATAAATTAATTAATTTTCTTGTTTAAAATAGTCCCTCTTTAAATCCAAACTAATATTATAAATGCTAAAGTAACTCTGCCTGTCTGTCTTTTCTTTACAACTAAACTACTGAACCGATTTCTTTGATATTTGGTATACCTAGACATAGTTTGGAACTCCAGAAAAGACATAGGATAGGTTTTATATCAAAAATCTGCAGGAAGTTACTATTCCACGTGAACGAAGTCGCGGGCAAAAATATCAAACATTTAGATATGGAGGTTGGATAGAAGGAAAACTTATAATTATGGAGAATATTTGAAAATATCCAGCTGTTCACAGTAAATAGCAGTAAAAAACCTCAAAGAGTGGCGCTAGCTTCAGCAAATTGGTTGGTATTGGTAAACAAAGGTTGAAGGTAGCCTAGACAAGAAAGTTATCTTACTGCTACTGTAGCGCCACCGCAATTTAACGCATTTTACCAGACACTTCTTACAAACTTTATCTGTGTATATAGCGAAAGTTTTTCTTCTATCTACCACTCTACGACAAACAAGAGGAATTTTAAAATTCTAATTCGTCAATTTTATAAATGCGCCATCTACGTGTATCTGGCTGAACTAACTATTTTCAGCATGAAACTAAAGAGTAAAGTTAAACAGCAGATCTCGTCAACTGCGTTGTTTCTTAGTTCCTATGTGAGACAACAGGGGGCGCTTAACCAAAAATACTACTCTGTTTAAAAAAAATCTTGAAAAAACTCTGTAAAATGTACAAGCTTTCTATTGTATAAATATTTTCGTATATTATGTATGGGTAGTATAATCGGATAGAAAGCTAGTCCGATAAAAGTACTAAAATAAGTTTTTATTAATTACTAACACCCAGTTTCTGAAAGGCTTGTCAATTCATTGATCAACTAACACTGTGATTAGTTTGACATGCCTGTCAAATCAATTTGAGTTTCTGAAACGTTGATCAGAGCATGATTAACTAATCTATGATTATTTTGATTTGACATGCGATTTATTTTTATTCACAGCCACACTGCTCTTTTTTGTTCAATAGTTCATTCTTATCTGTCAAATAAGTTAATATTAAAAAAAATTACGGACTGTCATTGATGTCAAACAATTCTGCGAAATTCAAATATTAAAGTTACAATTTCAATAAAATGCTAACTAAACTTGCTTAAAATGGCATAACGAGGGAAGAAAATTCATCGAAAGGGAAGGGCATGTTCTTGTAGAACTAGTTCAGAAGTAAGTATAAGTATAAACATATATTTTTTACCTATTGCGTTTTATAAACCTATTCGTGTTTAAAAGTATAAAATATCTTTGTTTATACTTCACATCCTGCGCTGCAGCCAAGACTGATGTATAATACGCACCATGTTTTATTACAGATACAAGCACATAATTGATAATCAGTGCACAAATGCTATTTCTACTATTCATAAAAATGAAGCTCGGGAAACCACAACGAATGAATTCTACAGTAATGC